CAATTATGCTGAGTCAGGCTTGATTTTTAATAATCATTTCCTGTTAAATAAATAAATCAAATCAAATCAAAAAGTTATAACTCACAGCTGTGCAGAGGTGTATAAAAGACTTGGAAAAAAATTAAAAGCACAAATACCATAACAGACAATGCCTTTGATTAAAATGTATTTAAATGACAAGAAAAGTACTTAAGTAAAAGTCACAAAACTGCTGACAGCAGTCGGGAAAGTAAAAGTAGTTGTAGACACAAGTAATAAAGTGTTAAATATATTTAATGAAATTTAATCAAACAGTTCATTTACTCAACTTGGTTAAGTAAATTCAACACTTCGTTTTTTAGCATAAACAGCTCCCTTCATGATGAGTACGGTCATATTTAAAGTAAGGAAGTAAAAGTGTCATTTTTGGATTTGAATGTAACAAAATACGTTAAAGTTACAATTTTAAAAATACTTTCTCAAAATATGATTTACAGTAAGTACTGTAATGAAGTAAATGTACTTTGCAGGGGTGTATAGTAACTAAGTACATTTACTTCTTTACAGTACTTAAGTCATTTTCTTGTTAAAAACAAGTTATGTTTTGAATGTAAGTTGTACAGATGGTCTGTAATTTGCACAGCTTTTACCCTATTTTGAAGGGTTCATATTTATTTTATGTTTTATATTATTTTATTTATTTGGGCAGCACGACGGCTCAGTGGTTAGCACCAACGGCCCACAGTAAGAAGGTCCTGGGTTCGATCCCCGGTTTGGACCTGGGGTCTTTCTGTGCGGAGTTTGCATGTTCTCGTGCTTGCGTGGGTTTTCTCCGGGTACTCCGGTTTCCTTCACCCCACAAAAACATGTACAATAGGTTGTCTTCAGGCCCAGGCCTCCCTTGAAAAAAAGAGATCTGAGATCTCAATGGGACTTGCCTGGTTAAAGAACAGTAAAATAAATGTCCAAGTAAAATAAAATAAAAAAAAAAGTTAAGTAACCATGTCCTAACCCGCTCTGCTGACTTCTCCCCGTCCTCCTGTCCTCTCTGCTACAGACACTTTCCCCACWGTCAACAGTCTGCTCTAACCAACCAACCAGTGTGAAATCATGGCAGTGTTGGCAGACAACCTGATTCTGTCAGTTGGCTGCTGGACAACCTGGAAAACTTCTTTACCGCTGCTAGCTTTCACCACACATACACCAAATACAGATCATGCAGGAGGTTGGAGCAACATTTACTGTAACTTTATCATCATTTAGTCCTGATCTCTGGCCTGAGAGGTGATGGAGCAACATGGCTTTTAATCAACAGGTGTCTGTAATACAGGACTGTGACCACTAAGGGTCCTCAGAAGCGCTCCCCTCTGCTCTCTGTCCACATGTGGATTCACTTCCTTTTTATGTAGCTTATTAGCACTTGAATGTAACCGGAGTCCCACAGTGTTTGCAGGGAGAGGGGAGTGATGCTTGTCAGAGAACAGCCATAAAATGTCGCTCCAGCCCTCAATTAAACCCTCAGCTGGGCCGATAAAGTGCTGCCAACTCCGACAGAAACCCCACACAGCTGAGAGGGAGGAAATCGAGCCGTTGCGCCGCCGTGCGCGTCTTTAACGTTGGGGATGGTAGAAGCTGTAACGCTGGGGGGGGGAGGGGAGGGGTGGGCACTGATATTCATGACAGGTTGTATCCCACAGTGGCGGCGCAGGCTGAGTGCGCTCTCAGCCCTAATTGCTCCTGTAAAACTCTTGGCCCATCCATTTTTAATGTCCAGTAAAGAGACGATGGAAAACACGACGTGGACCCGAGCGTTTTAAAAAACTCACCTAAACGGGCGCCGTTCGCTGTAACCAATCAAACAGCAGACTTAAACGTTGAGAAAATGCCCTGACTTAAAGAAATGTAAGGAGGTGAAGGAGAACGAGGGCGTTTGATATCTTTGTGATTGTCCTTTGTTCATCACTTCATTGTTTCACGTTCTGAATAATGGATGGAGGACTAATGGAAGCAATGACGACGAGGAAAGCGGCCAAATGCCACTCCTAACAACTGTAGAAATACAAAGCAGAAACAAATACGTGACGACGAACTCCTATGCTCCGTTCAAAGCGGGATTAGATTCATGTTTGAGTTCCAAGAAGAACTGTAACATCCAAGGTGATGTTATTCTGATGATGTGTGGCGTGACGGTCAAACAAGCATTAAAAAGTAATGTTTGTAGCAAGCTTTACAATAACTATTTCTGTCAAAACATTACATCTGTTTATGTGAAAGAAATCAACAACTGCTGACATACGGGTTCTTTGAACGGATGACTTCTGACTTTGGACTAAGGGTCAACAGTTAGTTTGAAATGTAAGTCGGGACTTCAATCGGTGTTCTGAGAACAAAAGGTCTTCAATGGTGTCATTGCTTTTAGCTGAAAAACAAATATTTTCCCCAGAAGACCAAATGAAAGCGCTGAGAACCGAGTCGTACCTCTTCGGGTTCGATGAGTTTGAACTCCATGCCGCGGCCGGTCCAGGCTATGAAGTGGGCGTTGCTCGGGTCGTCCAGGAGGGCCACCAGGAACTGCCAGAGCTGCAGGGAGCCGCGGCGCTGGTAAGGTGTCCCTTCGCGAAAGACCCCACCCCCTTCCTGTTTGACGTCACCTGGACACAGAACGTAGAAACCATTTAAAATTATTTTATTTTGCTAAAACAAAACAAAACAAACACAAAAACCTTGAAACCTGACTAGGTTATAGACCTTTATGGTCTATTTCCACTCAAGGTAATTATTGGACCTATTAAAGGGGTGGGTAGTGTGAGTCTAAGCTACATCCTATTGGTTTGTACTATCCATCACACCTGTGACACAAATCACATCACGTTCCAGCAGAACATATCAGACGTATGTCGCCTGGTATGAAGATGACCGTGACAGAGGTGTATGCAACCAACAGGTGGCCTATYGTAGTGTTTGTCAAAGTGGGAGCCACGCCCCCCTGGTGGGGCACTAAGTGGGCCTCAGAAAGCTGGAGGGAAGATAAGAATAAAATGCAAAAATTAAATCTGATCAGTGTTTTCAAATCTGTTTTTCAATCATTATTTTAAAACATAATTTATTAAAGTTATTTAAAAAAGCGTAAGAGACGTTTGATTTCTTTTCATCAACAGTTTGTTTAAAAGGTGTTTATTCAGAGGGAGTATAATACACTGTTTAAAACATGTTAGTTAATACAGTTTTTGTTTTAAATCAATATAATTATTGAATAGTGAATAAAAGTGTGAAAACAGTAACATTTTAAAAGTTGTTTGTTTACAGATCCAGATCCTCCAAATCTGAGTCCATGGTCCTCAGTCAGAAAAGGGTGGATTGCGCTCTCTGGGTTGGGGGTGAAGTTCTGCCTCAAGTGGAGGAGTTCAAGTATCTCGGGGTCTTGTTCACGAGTCAGGGAAGAATGGAGCGTGAGATTGATAGACGGATCGGTGCAGTTTTACGGACTCTGTACCGGTCTGTTGTGGTGAAGAGGAGCTGAGCTGTAAGGCAAAGCTCTCTGTTTACCGGTCTGTCTACGTTCCTACCCTCACCTACGGCCATGTAATTTGGGTATTGACTGAAAGAACAAGATTGCAGATACAAGTGGTYGAAATGAGTTTTCTGTGCAGGGTAGCTGGGCTCTCACTTAGAGATAGGGTAGGAAGTTTAGTTATCCAGGAGAGACTCGGGAGTAGAGCCACTGCTCCTCCACATCGAAAGGAGCCAGTTGAGGTGGTTTGGGCATCTGGTTAGGATGCCTCCAAGGTACCTCCCTAGGGAGGTGCTTCAGGTATGTCCAACTGGGAGGAGACCCTGAGGAAGACCCAGGACACACCTGAGAGWCTATGTCTCTCGGCTGGCTCAACTTCAGATAAAGAAGATTGATTGAGTATGTACTGTATGTATGTACCTATGTATGTACGTATGCATATACGTACGTACGTATGCATGTACGTATGTACGTATGCATGTACGTACGTATGTACGTACGTACGTGTGTGCGTATGTACGTATGTACATAGGTATGTAGCTATGTATGTACGTATGTACGTACGTAGGTAGGTATGTATGTACTATGTACATAGGTATGTATGTACTATGTACATAGGTATGTAGGTATGTATGTAGGTATGTATGTACGTATATACATAGGTATGTAGGTATGTATGTACGTACGTATGTACATATGTATGTATGTACGTATGTACATATGTGTATGTACGTATGTACATATGTATGTAGGTACGTATGTACGTATGTATGTACGTATGTACATATGTATGTACGTATGTAGGTACGTATGTACGTATGTATGTACGTACGTATGTAGGTACGTATGTACGTATGTATGTACGTATGTACATATGTGTATGTACGTATGTACATATGTATGTATGTATGTATGTACGTATGTACGTATGTATGTACGTATGTATGTACGTATGTATGTATGTACGTATGTATGTATGTATGTATGTACGTATGTACGTATGTATGTATATACGTATGTATGTATGTGCGTATGTATGTGTGTACGTATGTATGTATGTATGTATGTACGTAAACTTATTTTGTAGCACTGTTTGTTGGTTTGCAAGGGGGTCCCCAGCCAGAAGCTAATGCTACACAACTCCTAGGCCATTCTTCTCCCCATTCCACCCTTTGGCCAGACTAAACTATTCTTTTGTCAAATGTGTTGGGCTGTTAAGGTTTGTGGTTTTAAAGAGTTGCACAGTCTGCATACACTTTAAAAAGACAGAAAAGATGTAGATTATTACATTTGGTGGACCTGTTTGGTCCAAAGTGCCTGGGTTGATTTTTTTTGTCCGTCCACTCCTGACATCTCTGCTCATCAGCCATCAGTTATAGTTAAAAACTGTTTTTAGAAACAAATTACTTTAAAAACTAACTGTATGTTGAACAAAACAGAGATTGTAAAGTAAAAAAAAAAAGATTTGCAATGTAACCGWTAGATGAATCGTTCAAGTCGTACATCTAAAAAAATATCAAGTCTCCAACCTAATCAGGTCAAAAATAAAAACAGCATTAAAAAAACTAATTAATTATCACACTGATTGGTTTTTGGTCAGTCGTTGTTACTGAATATGTTGTCCACATCTATATGTGAGAACCTGAGAAGCGTGGCCAAGTTACTGCTGTTGTTGCACACGTCAACGGTTCAACCAGCGGTGACACCTCAGGCCTTTTCACTCAACCTCCTTTATTGTCAACAAGCAGCGACACCATGGGAAACTGTTTGTCTCTGTGACAGAGGAGCCCCGCGCAGCACGTATGATGAAACCAGAGCCTTTAAGCTGCAGAGTGCACAGACCTGTTTACCCAAGGATCTCAGGTGTCTATAAGCTGACACTGAAGTGTGGAGATTTAAGAAGCTGTGACAAGAGCTCAACYGTGGTCCTTAAGCTACCAGCTGACCTGGTGGGACTGTGGATATGTGTGAAGGTAGACCCAAAGAGGCTCACCTTCGAACTTCTCTGGAACAACACGGGAGTCRTTCTCGAACAAGTAGCCTGAGAGACAAAGAAAGAGTTGTGTTAGGAGTTTCGCGCGGCCTTGATTTAAACACAACTAGCTTGTTAAGAATTTGTGCCAAATTTCAAATACAATTACACAAAAAAACAAAGAACTATTCATGCTAAAATAACACCAAACCAGAAACAGAGAGTGGATTTCAGAGTTAAACATCTAAAAGTACTCTTTGCAACACATTTTTGGGCCTTGGAGCTCCTATTTGCCGATTTTAAATGAATTCCAGCCTGAATGACCAAAACTGGTCCCACAAACAAAGGCAATGAAGGGAGGGGTTGTTTTCTTTTTTGCTGGGGAACTATTCTGCTTTTTTCCAGGAGTTCTGTTTATTCAGGGATTCACGAGGCAGGGGTGAGCTTTGAGCCCCTGCCAATGGAAACATGAACACACCACTGGCTGGCCAATGGAAACATGGACACTCTGAGCTGCTTAGCCAATGACCACAGAGCTATAACGAGTTCAGGCTCGAAGTAGATAAAACTTTACAGATCGACGAGATTGGCTAAATGCAGCTGCAGAAACCTTTATGATTCCCTCTGGTTTTAGCAATAAATTAGCAAATGGCTTTAATAGAGGGTTTGAAYAGGATGTTGTAATAAAAGTACTTTAGCAGTGAAGTAACTCACCTGCAGCAGAGAGCAATCAAAGGCTATGTTCACACTGCAGGCAAATATGACCCAAATCCCATTTTTTCAACCCCAAAGTTTAACATAAATAATGATGTGGTTAATAAATGAGACCAGCTTTTCTCATACCTACTGACTGTTGTTTACTGTTTGACTTAATCAAGGCTTTTAAAGATCCAAMAGTACAAAAAAAGAATTTAAATAAATATGATTTGTTCTAATATCGTATTGGGTCAATATAGGTATCATATCAGAAGTGAAAAGGCTGCATCAGGACACAGTAACAACCAATGTGGGTCTCGGACCGTATCGATACTAAAGTTACTCGATCAATACTTTACTTCCAACACGCCGCTTCGTTCAAAAAATGGAGCATCCGGTCAGAGGCAGGTTCCGATATAAACACTGAACCAAACAAGCATGTCAGACAATCATTTAATCAGCTTTGATTGAACAGCTTCAGAATGGACATGCTAACATGTAGCATCCATGTTTAGCTAATTCTGTAAACAGTGAGCTTAATATCACGTCTTCTTCTGTGCATGTGTGTCACATCAGTGCTCTGGAGAGTTCACACTGGAGTCTGATGGAGCTTGTATTTAAAATATAATGCAAACATCCATGCAATAAATAAATAAATAAATAAATAAATAAATAAATAAATAAATAAATAAATAAATAAATAA